GTGTAGACCAGATAGACTGTATATGTGTAGACCAGATAGACTGTATATGTGTTTCCTCTATTTAATATCTGGTGTAGACCAGATAGACTGTATATGTGTGGACCAGATATACCTTATATGTGTAAACCAGATAGACTGTATATGTGTAGACAGATATACTGTATATGTGTAGACCAAATAGACTGTATATGTGAAGATCAGATAGACTGTATATGTGTAGACCAGATAGACCTTATATGTGTAGACCAGATAGACTGTATATGTGTAGACCAGATAGACTATATATGTGTAGACCAGATAGACTGTATATGTGTAGACCAGATAGACTGTATATGTGTAGACCAGATAGACTGTATATGTGTAGACCAGATAGACTGTATATGTGTAGACCAGATAGACTGTATGTGTGTAGACCAGATAGACTGTATATGTGTAGACCAGATAGACTGTATATGTGTAGACCAGATAGACTGTATATGTGTAGACCAGATAGACTGTATATGTGTAGACCAGATAGACTGTATATGTGTAGACCAGATAGACTGTATATGTGTAGACCAGATAGACTGTATATGTGTAGACCAGATAGACTGTATATGTGTAGACCAGATAGACTGTATATGTGTAGACCAGATAGACTGTATATGTGTAGACCAGATAGACTGTATATGTGTAGACCAGATAGACTGTATATGTGTAGACCAGATAGACTGTATATGTGTAGACCAGATAGACTGTATATGTGTAGACCAGATAGACTGTATATGTGTAGACCAGATAGACTGTATATGTGTAGACCAGATAGACTGTATATGTGTAGACCAGATAGACTGTATATGTGTAGACCAGATAGACTGTATATGTGTAGACCAGATAGACTGTATATGTGTAGACCAGATAGACTGTATATGTGTAGACCAGATAGACTGTATATGTGTAGACCAGATAGACTGTATATGTGTAGACCAGATAGACTGTATATGTGTAGACCAGATAGACTGTATATGTGTAGACCAGATAGACTGTATATGTGTAGACCAGATAGACTGTATATGTGTAGACCAGATAGACTGTATATGTGTAGACCAGATAGACTGTATATGTGTAGACCAGATAGACTGTATATGTGTAGACCAGATAGACTGTATATGTGTAGACCAGATAGACTGTATATGTGTAGACCAGATAGACTGTATATGTGTAGACCAGATAGACTGTATATGTGTAGACCAGATAGACTGTATATGTGTAGACCAGATAGACTGTATATGTGTAGACCAGATAGACTGTATATGTGTAGACCAGATAGACTGTATATGTGTAGACCAGATAGACTGTATATGTGTAGACCAGATAGACTGTATATGTGTAGACCAGATAGACTGTATATGTGTAGACCAGATAGACTGTATATGTGTAGACCAGATAGACTGTATATGTGTAGACCAGATAGACTGTATATGTGTAGACCAGATAGACTGTATATGTGTAGACCAGATAGACTGTATATGTGTAGACCAGATAGACTGTATATGTGTAGACCAGATAGACTGTATATGTGTAGACCAGATAGACTGTATATGTGTAGACCAGATAGACTGTATATGTGTAGACCAGATAGACTGTATATGTGTAGACCAGATAGACTGTATATGTGTAGACCAGATAGACTGTATATGTGTAGACCAGATAGACTGTATATGTGTAGACCAGATAGACTGTATATGTGTAGACCAGATAGACTGTATATGTGTAGACCAGATAGACTGTATATGTGTAGACCAGATAGACTGTATATGTGTAGACCAGATAGACTGTATATGTGTAGACCAGATAGACTGTATATGTGTAGACCAGATAGACTGTATATGTGTAGACCAGATAGACTGTATATGTGTAGACCAGATAGACTGTATATGTGTAGACCAGATAGACTGTATATGTGTAGACCAGATAGACTGTATATGTGTAGACCAGATAGACTGTATATGTGTAGACCAGATAGACTGTATATGTGTAGACCAGATAGACTGTATATGTGTAGACCAGATAGACTGTATATGTGTAGACCAGATAGACTGTATATGTGTAGACCAGATAGACTGTATATGTGTAGACCAGATAGACTGTATATGTGTAGACCAGATAGACTGTATATGTGTAGACCAGATAGACTGTATTTGTGTTGTCCAGATAGACTGTATATGTGTAGACCAGATAGATTGTTTATGTGTAGACCAGATAGACTGTATATGTGTAGACCAGATAGACTGTATGTGTGTAGAACAGATAGACTGTATATGTGTAGACCAGATTGACCTTATATGTGTATACCAGATAGACTGTATATGTATAGACCAGATAGACTGTATATGTGTTTCCTCTTTCCCATATTAAGCTGTTTAGTTGTCTGCTTTGTTTTTGATGTCAAGGTATTAACTTTTTTTAAAGTGTTGCCAAAAAATGATTTTAACAAGGACACATTTGCATTGTCACCCTTTGTCTGAAATGACCAAAAGTAAAGAGGAATACATCCCTGATCATTATAATTACATACCTGATCATTATAATAACATACCTGATCATTATAATTACATACCTCATCATTATAATTATATACCTCATCATTAGAAATACATACCTGATCATTATAATTACATACCTGATCATTAGAATTACATACCTGATCATTAGAACTGTTGCATATTTCCATGGCCAGTAAGCGAAGTGGACAACAATATGTAGCAGACTCAGCTTTTAAAAATCTTTTCATGGCATGGTAGGTTTTTCCACTGTTGGTTGGACCAACATGCATAACAATTTTACGGGTCTTCGCTCTGGTCTCTACATACCTGGTAATGTATTTATATCTGAGTTAGGCTATGGTGGTGAACAACCAAGTCAATGAACTTGCTAGAGGCATGTCATTAGACCATTTCTTCTCAACCAAGTCAATGAACTTGCTAGAGGCATGTCATTAGACCTTTTCTTCTCAACCAAGTCAATGAACTGGCTAGAGGCATGTCATTAGTCCATTTCTTCTCAACCAAGTCAATGAACTGGCTAGAGACATGTCATTAGACCATTTCTTCTCAACCAAGTCAATGAACTGGCTAGAGACATGTCATTAGACCATTTCTTCTCAACCAAGTCAATAAACTGGCTAGAGGCATGTCATTAGACCATTTCTCCTCAACCAAGTCAATGAACTGGCTAGAGGCATGCCATTAGACTATTTCTTCTCAACCAAGTCAATGAACTTGCTAGAGGCATGGCATTAGACCATTTCTTCTCAACCAATTACAAGTTAATGAACTGGCTAGAGGCATGTCATTAGACCATTTCTTCTCACACAATTCAATGAACTGGCTAGAGGCATGTCATTAGACCATTTTTTCTCAACCAATTCCAAGTCAATGAACTGGCTAGAGGCATGTCATCAGACCATTTCTTCCCAACCAAGTCAATGAACTGGCTAGAGGCATGTCATTAGACCATTTTTTCTCAACCAATTCCAAGTCAATGAACTGGCTAGAGGCATGTCATTAGTCCATTTCTTCTCAACCAAGTCAATGAACTGGCTAGAGGCTTGTCATTAGACCATTTCTTCTCAACCAAGTCAATAAACTGGCTAGAGGCATGTCATTAGACCATTTCTTCTCAAATAATTACAAGTCAATGAACTGGCTAGAGGCATGTCACTGGACCATTTCTTCTCAACCAATTACAAGTCAATGAACTGCCTAGAGGCATGTCATCAGACCATTTCTTCTCAACCAAGTCAATGAACTGGCTAGAGGCTTGTCATTAGACCATTTCTTCTCAACCAAGTCAATGAACTTGCTAGAGGCATGTCATTAGACCTTTTCTTCTCAACCAAGTCAATAAACTGGCTAGAGGCATGTCATTAGACCATTTCTCCTCAACCAAGTCAATGAACTGGCTAGAGGCATGCCATTAGACTATTTCTTCTCAACCAAGTCAATGAACTTGCTAGAGGCATGGCATTAGACCATTTCTTCTCAACCAAGTCAATGAACTTGCTAGAGGCATGTCATCAGACCATTTCTTCTCAACCAAGTCAATGAACTGGCTAGCTAGAGGCATGTCATTAGACCATTTCTTCTCAACCAATTCAATGAACTGGCTAGAGGCATGTCATTACACCATTTCTTCTCAACCAATTACAAGTTAATGAACTGGCTAGAGGCATGTCATCAGACCATTTCTTCTCAACCAATTCAATGAACTGGCCAGAGGCATGTCATTACACCATTTCTTCTCAACCAATTACAAGTTAATGAACTGGCTAGAGGCATGTCATTAGACCATTTCTTCTCAACCAAGTCAATGAATCTTATAACTTAGGCAAAATTCAACCCACGCAATGTTCATTACCAGAGGAGCGCAAGCGGCATAGATGGAAGAATAAACTATGTAGAACTTATAGTTACCGTGATATGGACATAACAATTCTTTTCAAACTGGTTATCTTGATTAGACCATTACTTCCTCCTAATAATAAAAGATCCCCATACCACTGCCAAAAACTGTAACTAATATAAGAGTTGGAAACTACTTTTTCCGGCATGACTATAACTTAGATAAAATAATTTCTGAAAATAAAATCATACCTTGTAGGACTTTCATGAGAAATACTTGAGTTGAAATAAACAAAATATAATCAACAACAGTGTTCTGAATGTAGAAAAGTCATTGGAGCAAGACCAGGAATCATCCACCGACTTCTGATCGAGATACTATCGCTGTAACCCACTGAGCTAACTGCAGGTCAACAGAGTTGTGTCCTGGCCCAAATGTGCTACAGTTATATCCAAACGGAAGTTAAGGGGAGGTTACAGTGAGTAGATATGAAAAACCACTGTGCAGTGGGACAGGAATCCTTTAGTAACTGAGAGTAAAATACAGGTCAAATTAATTGGGTCACTGAGAGTAAAATACAGGTCAAATCAATTGGGTCACTGAGAGTAAAATACAGATCAAATTAATTAAGTCACTGAGAGTAAAATACAGGTCAAATTAATGAGGTCACTGAAAGTAAAATACAGATCAAATTAATTGGGTCACTGAGAGTAAAATACAGATCAAATTAATGAGGTCACTGAGAGTAAAATACAGGTCAAATTAATGAGGTCACTGAAAGTAAAATATAGGTCAAATTAATTAAGTCACTGAGAGTAAAATACAGGTCAAATTAATGAGGTCACTGAGAGTAAAATACAGGTCAAATAAATGAGGTCACTGAGAGTAAAATACAGGTCAAATTAATGAGGTCACTGACAGTAAAATACAGGTCAAATCAATTGGGTCACTGAGATTAAAATACAGGTCAAATTAATTAAGTCACTGACAGTAAAATACAGGTCAAATTAATTGGGTCACTGAGAGTAAAATAAACGTCAAATAAATTAAGTCACTGAGAGTAAAATACAGGTCAAATTAATTAAGTCACTGAGAGTAAAACACCAGTCAAATTAATAAAGTAACTGAGAGTAAAATACAGGTCAAATTAATTTGGTCACTGAGAGTAAAATACAGGTCAAATAAATTAAGTCACTGAGAGTAAAATACAGGTCAAATTCATAAAGTCACTGAGAGTAAAATACAGGTCAAATTAATTAAGACACTGAGAGTAAAATACAGGTCAAATTCATAAAGTCACTGAGAGTAAAATACAGGTCAAATTAATTAAGACACTGAGAGTAAAATACAGGTCAAATTCATAAAGTCACTGAGAGTAAAATACAGGTCAAATTAATTAAGACACTGAGAGTAAAATACAGGTCTAATTCATAAAGTCACTGAGAGTAAAATACAGGTCAAATTAATTAAGACACTGAGAGTAAAATACAGGTCTAATAAATTAAGTCACTGAGAGTAAAATACAGGTCAAATTAATTAAGTCACTGAGAGTAAAATACAGGTCAAATTCAGCATCCAAACATGAGTTGGGTGGATGCAAAAATGACCCATGTACAAATTGCAGCACTTTTACATGTATGGAGTTACCGAGGTATGGACATGTACATAGCTACAGAGATATGGACCTGTACATAGCTACAAAGATATGGACATGTATATGGCTACAGGGATATGGACATCTATATGGCTACAGAGATACGGACATGTACATAGCTATAGAGATATGTACATATGTATAGCTACAAAGATATGGACATGTATATAGCTACAGAGATATGTACATGTATATAGCTATAGAGATATGTACATGTATATAGCTACAGAGATATGGATATGTACATAGCTACAGAGACATGGGCATGTATATAGCTACAGAGATATGTACACGTACATAGCTATAGAGATACGGACATGTACATAGCTATAGAGATATGGACATGTATATAGCTACAGAGATATGTATATAGCTATGGAGATATGGACATGTAAATAGCTACAGAGATATGTACATGTACATGTACATAGCTACAGAGATATGTACATGTACGTAGCCAACGAGATATGGACAAAACATTTTTAGGTCAAATTCAGCACCTGCAACATGGATTTAGTGGAACAGCCCTAGCTGCATCAATGGTGCAAGAATAATCCACGAAGAACATATACACAATACACAAATTTTAAGGAAACAATTCTTCTTAACCTACACAAAAAAAACTTAGCAAGTTCAGGAGGCACAGTAGTCTAGTGGTAGGACGCTGGGCTCGTGACCGAAAGGTTGAACCACAGCACGGCACTGTGTTGTATCTTTGAGCAAGATACTTTACTCTGCTTGTTCCCATGGATAATAATTTGTGAATCGCTTTGAGATGACCTACGAACTAGGTTGTGATAAAGCGGTATATACAGTGTAAGAACCTTGAGTTATTGTTATCATTATTATATTGACAGCTGGGGGTAAGTCTTGCCCATGTTGGAATCAGCATGAATATATTTGAAGTCATAAAGCATGTAACATCAGATGTTCTACCATGATGTGACCACATTTCCAGGCATTGAAATTGGTAAGACCGCTTATCTAAACAACTTTTTCATGGTGCTCGGCCACTAAAACAAGCTAAATGTTGTGATCAGAAATAGTGTAAGCCATGTTAGATAGATGGCCACTTATTTCAGTGCTATTACTTTCTAATTCAGCTGACTACTGACTGCAGGTTAGCCTTAGGTTTAACTCATTCACCCCTGAACCCTGAAGACACATTTGAACCTTCCAATTCAAAGGTTGGAATAGTTCATTATGAAATTTCATTTTAAAAACCAATTCAAAGGTGGAAACTATAACTCACCATTGTGCTGGAGAGGTGAGGTCTGTGAGACCTTTCAACATGTTCATAGACTTAAGGTGTGGGAACATTTCCTGTGAATATCCTAGGTAGTACGGAAAAAGCATGCCGACATCTCCTGTCATGAAAAAAAATATAAAAAAATACACGTTCAAAGTATAGACATGGACCCTGTAAACATACACGTACAAAGTATAGACATGGACCCTGTAAACATGCACAATAAACATGGACTAACTGTTAACAATTAAGTCGTGTTGAGAGCTGTTGTTAGTAGTTACACAATATATCATTTATTACTAATCAAGGTAGAGAGATAGAGAATTACAAAAAGAAACTTGCAAAATTAAAATATCATCCTGATAATAAATGGGGCCTAGGTCTATGTATGATTTGGGTATTGTGGGCCCCCAAATCCATCAAAATTCAAAACCTTTAAATAAAAGTAAATCATTGTTCCTTTACATTCCTTTACTGATACTATAAAAAGATTTATTGGTGTCTTTATTTATGGATGCCATAGTAATGAGATCAAATTTACATATTTTTACTTAAAGTTTGTCATGTTTTTTAAAAGTGTTTCTCTTCAAAACTACAGAGCACCTGCTTGAACAAACTGAATGTAAAAGATTGTAGGCATTAGTTAACATCTTTAGGAGAATAATCGTGTTTGTTAAGAACATGCTCTTCGGTTGCTAAGAGAAAAACTAGGGAAAAAAATAACAAAAATGACTAAATATCCCATTTCATTAAAAATTTCAATTGCTAACCATGGCACACATGATACAAAAACATTTATACTGGGGGAGCATTCAAAATTTATAAAACAGCCATTTAAAAATTCAATGTTTTGAATTGTGATGAAATCGAGGGTGAAATAGGCCAACCATATATATAAAGCCCTTTTCAACTAATTACCTTTGTCAATAGTCAAAATGTTCAACAATAAGTGGATATCAAAACGCAGCTTGTCCTCTAAACACATGGTGCTGAATGACTGAAAAGTTGTACGGAAAAGGTCAGCTGAAATATCAAGAGTATTTTTATGACAGAAAATGTTTGGTGAATAAAGTATTGAAACCTCTTATCTATATATAGACATCAATGTTAACACCAGTTTGCAATTCCCAATCTATCATAGTTATACATCATTTTGCAAAAGAACTTAAAAATATGCAAAATAAACATTAGTAAAACCGGCATTCCTTTTATTTTGTACAAGGTCACAAATGAAATAAGTTAAACTAAACAGAACTCTGAGGAGGTTTTTTGATTGCATTTTGGACAACTAGAATATTGTTTTAAGGAAAAAATTAAAGATGCAAACAATATATATGCTGTCAGCATATATATTGTTTGCATCTTTAATTTTTTCCTTTGCATTGCATGACTGAGTCAAGGATTTTTTTTCAGCATTTACAACTTCAAATGTTACTTGCATACTTGACATAGATCAAAGACATAAGTTTTAACAGTATGAACAGAAAGGCAATCAATAGACGTAGAAGTACATAAATGTATAGACCTTGGTAACATAATAATTAATAAATCAAACTTACGACTAATATCATTTTCTCTACACAAAGTTCTGATCTCTGAACTACGAGAAAATTCTTCAAGAACCATTTTGACAGCATCTGAAATATAATGCAGATTGATAAAACATTTCAAACCAGATAAGCAACAGCAATTTTGTTTTCTATACAAATATCAAAGCAAACACAGGGCTTTTTTTATTTTTACAATCCAATACCAGTACCAGTCTGATTGCCAACAGCAGTACATTTGTTATAATTACTTGGAAGCATCTTCCAAAACCACACATGAGGCCCGAATCTGCATCTTCAGAATACTTATCCTCAAAAACACACTGACGTTATATTAAAGAGACATACACTTTACCTCGTAACCAGAAAGGGATTCACATGAATGTTGATAAAAAATACAATGATGGGGCTTCACCAAATCAGTGAAAATTGTGTAATCTTTAATTTCTGCGCATGAGATAAGAACGACATGTAATGGCCTGTTTGTTGATATTTTACTACAAAGCCAAATCTGTACTTATGGCCTGATTTGCATACTTGCCAACTCTCCCTATTAAGGAGGGAGACTCCTGATTTTGGACCCTAAAATTTCAACTTGTGAATTTGGTAAACTATTCCTATTTTCTAAGGTTTGATGATTTCACCTGAAAGAACAGCTCAAATGATGCCATTACAAAGTGTTATTTTTCCCTAGAGTGTACATGCACACATAATGATTTTGGATTTAATTCTGAGCACATGTAATCTCCCCTATGGAAATTTAAAAAAGTTGCAAGTATGGATTAGCTGGTGCTCCAGCACGGGCGTAGCTAGCCCGTTTGAAATCAGTTCCTTTAGGAGCAGGTCCAAAGCAGGGCCTTGGTAGGGGGACATTGGGGTGCAGCGGGACAATGGCGTGCAACTTTGCTACGTGTCTGTCCATAACCTATCAAACGGAAGTATATTATCTGAAACAATGTTATTGTATCCACCTATAACATGTAGCGTTCAATTTCTTCAGCATCATATTTGGTTGTATACCTAAATGCTGTGGAATTTATTCATAACCAAGTGTATTTTACGCTGAGGTGACAGTACCTAAATCAGATCATCAAACCATCATTTTATTCATTAATTGAAAATTCTGAGGATGAATTATATTCATGCATTGTTGAATCAAAGGAAGAATATTGATGGCTTGTCTTACCAACAAAATTAGCACCCGGGGCTTAGTGAGAAATTGATAGAATGCTCTGATATCATCAATCAGGGGTTCCAGTTTTTGGGAATGTCAGGACCAAAATCGGATCAAGGCTTGAATTTTGCAGTATCTTACACTTAATTCATTTTTTTTTTATCAGCATATTAACATTTTATGAGGACCTTTAGAATTTGTATGAAAACAAGTATTTTTATATCGTGAATTTATTCCTATAGTCCAAAACAGAATCCATAGTCATCGCCTCTATTGAGTTTGAATTACTTTTTCTGGTGCTATTTGAACTTAAAAACTAATCATCTGTAGACAAAAAAAGTGCATGGCTATCTATTCTAAGGCTATAACATCATTGTTATAACTGATCTGTTGACACATTTATAGATTAAAAGTATTTTTGCAAAAAAGTGATAAGATTTTGGTACTGATGCTATTTGGGTCCTGCCTCCTTATACTTATAATTCCTTCAAATATAACAACAGTTACGTATACATGCATCTGAATTCACCTTTGTCCAACTCTCCTCCACCCGTTTCTTCACATTCTCTGTATTTTGAGACAACAGACGAAGGTTTAATAATTGAATGGATTTCGAGAACTTTTTTAGGCTTTGCTTTGACAAATAACTTAGATCTTTTATCTTTCGATGCACTGTCGACTGGTTTATCTTCAGATTTAGGTGGCCTTGTTGAGTAACTGGAACATACGAAAGCATGTTTCCTTCTGCACCAAGTGGTTGACATTTGTTTTAACATTGATAAAGTGCGAAATGTCGCCATTATTTTTCAGAGTGTGGTTAGGACACTCTGTTTTGTATGCTCTTTACTCTTCCGCAAGAGGACTGGAGCTCGATGTAGATATGGGCGCTGCCATCTTGTATTAAAGTAATAATAAAACGAATTCCGGAATGTAACTCCGACAACAATTTTATCATGCTCCAGCGAACGCACTCCATTCAGTAATTGGGATAACTTGTCCACTGGATGCAAACAAATTGGTGAACGATTATTCAAATAACATGAAAATAAGTTCGGTCAGAGACGCATATATATATACGTCTCTGGTTTGGTGATTGTTGTAACTTCTTAAATTAGCTCCGGCCGATCCCTGCTCCTCCCGCCAACCGACCTTCCTCTATTTTCCGAAACATAAATAAAGATGGCCTAAACAATATTAGGTTCATGTTTCCTCTGGCCCTGACAAGGGGTTTTCGCCTACATGATTCCGCCCTTACGGGTTTCATCTCACTGACGGAAGTCGGTGTTCTGTCGGCGTTGGTTTCCTCTGGCCCTGGCACCAGACTTATGTAGTCCGAGTTTCCTCTGGCCCTGACACCAGACTAATATCATGAGTCCCAGTTTCCTCTGGCCCAGACACCAGACTTATATAGTCCGAGTTTCCTCTGGCGATTGATTGATTGGTTGATTGATAGGTTTTACGTCCGCTTCACTACCGAGTAGTTCGGTTATCCAGCAGACGAATTCCTCTGGCCCTGACACCATACTTATATAGTCTGAGTTTCCTCTGGCCCTGACACCAGACTAATATCATGAGTCCCAGTTTCCTCTGGCCCAGACACCAGACGTATATAGCCCGACTGTTGATTTAATGTTAATGTTCCTACACAGGCAGATGACATTTGTCTGGTGAGTACGAGTCTTAAAAGTCTTCAGAAAATTATATCAATATGTGAGAATTATAGTAAAAAAATGGCGTTTTTCATTATCTGCTGTAAAAAACAAAATTGTAACTTTCAAAAACCCAAGTAGTAGAACTTGTACTATGGATGAAGATCTTTATCTCTACAATTGTATTATGCCACAGACTGGTGGCATTACACATGTTGGTATTTTATTAAACTCTAAACAGAACTCTTTTGAGAGAACAACACTTGCATGTTATAAGTTAAGATCGGGTACGATGTCCTTTGTTCGTTCCGGTGCACATCCTTGTGCTCTCAACCCTTTAACAGTAGCGAAGCTTATCAAAATTAAAGTTTATCCATCCGCCTTATACGGGTGCGAGCTTTGGCAATTGACAAAGAGCAAGGGTTTGAAAAAAGAACCAGAACAGACGATGTGTACATCCTTACTTGGTTGGACCTCTATTGAGGCATATATAGACATTAGAAAATTATTATTCTTTGGAAGATTGTGTAAAATAAAACCAGTGTCTCTTGTTTATATAGTTTTTATTACAAGACTCTTTTTGTTTCGACTAGGTAGACCGTACCAGAACGGAGTCATCCCCGACATAGTCAAAATATTAAAAAAGTATTCGTTGCATCAAAATCTAGATAATTTTGTTGAAGCTGGAATCTTTCGAAAGAAAAGTGATTGGAAAACCATAGCATATAATTCTGTAATGAAATATGAGGGACACAATCTTAAGGAACGTATGAAATTTGATAATGATTTTACAAGGTTTCGAGAAATACATAACCAACTCAAACCTAATACTTAATGGAAGCTAGCGCTTCGATTTCCTCAATACAGAGAGTATATAAATATATAATGACAATAGTTGTAACCATCCGTAGCTTGACTACCATGGAATTATGTCATAAATGTGGGGTTTTATATCAAGACCCAATGACACATCTAGTGCTACAGTGTACTTATACTTCCGAGTTGAGGGACCAACATATATAATGTAGAATTTTCTATAAGTTATGTGCACTTACATAATTAGCAAAAGATATCACATGAGATACTATATGAACTACATTTTTGTATACTACAGATTAAGGTGCGTGGAGTATACATATGTGGGCCCGTACGTAACACCTTGCAGGTAGGGATATCCCCCACCCTTATGTGATCCAGACCCACAAATGTATCTTCCGCGTTTATAGTTAGTATGTTACAATAAATGTCTTTATTGAGCAGTGGCGGATCCAGAGACCTATCTGGGGGGGTTTCCATGTGGGGAAAAATTGAGGAAAATGGTGAAAATANACCCCTCTGGATCCGCCACTGTATTGCATGTATTAACAAATACAACGATACATTGATTTATATACATAGTCATGTATAAGTAGTACGTACCACTTATCAATAAAATTTATTATAATTTACTTGGCTTGTGCAAATCAATTTGCAATCTGTATATTGAAACTTTTCACATTAGTGAGTACCGAAATCAACCGTGGGTATCCGACGATGGAGGATAACAGTTACGTTATTATCATTTTTCGTCGTTACAAAAACCTTATTCTGAAGTACCGAAACGACTGATCACTGAAACGTCTATATTTCAATAGAGTAATGTTGGATCGCGTAATCAAAGTATTCAATCTATTTATATAACTCATTCTATAATTATTTGTTAGGGTGTCATTGCGAAATATTTTCCCGGGTATTACAAATCGCTATACAGTTTTAGATACAACGTCACTCTAAATTTGCGTCCTTAAAACGCTTCAGTTGAACGAGGAATCCTTGTTAAGCGTTTCTAGAGCAGCGATTTATTGTTTTCTTTTGCCATGGCATTTTGTCATATCGAAGTAGAATTTTGAAACCGCTATTCAAGTATATCTAAGAATGTGGAATACAGCCAAACGTTCGTATATTGTTTATTTTTATAATCATTACTCAGTCGGAGTGTATATAAGTTTTGACGATGGATCAAATCCGCCAAAAATCAAATATGACAAAAAGAAGTCGGAAACCGAAAGGTGAAAAAAGCAAAGACAGACATCACGTCTGTCTTGCTTATCTTCCTGATGACGTACTGTACGCTATCCTGTTAAAACTGGACATACAGTCCCTAGGTAGAGTGTGCAGCACATGTCGGAGATTGCAGAGCTTGGCGGAGACAGATTTTGTGTGGACCAGACATGGAGGCCGCAGAACTTTGATCCAAGAATCTGGCAGGTGTGACAAGAACAAAATAGTCATTATACAGTAATGTTTACAAGAATGTCCATGAGTGGATTTACAGTTAACCACTTAGTCATTAAATGTGGTTTCTAATTTTTTTAAAGTGTTAATGAAATATTCAAAGCTATTAACATAAATTTTGGGAATAACAAAAATCTAATAAATAGAGGCCCTTAATCAGGTTGGGCACAACGGCGCATAGAGGTACTAATCCTGCATTTGGGTAACATCTTTGTATGTTATGGTTGAATGCACGTCGAATCTACTTTCACTATCCTATATAAAAAATCTAAATTTTGTACTTCACTTACGTTATTGAAAATCACCATATCTATTGGTTATTACAAACAACTTTTGGTTCAATATAATTCAATATTTCACATGAAAAAAAAAGGTAATAAAAATAGAAATCACATCAGATTCCTAACACACAACATGGTGCAATTGACAACCTGTGATAAAATAGAGCAATGATCCCACCCTCAACTACACTGCACGACAATGGGTGACATTGTACATGACAATGGGTGATAATGTACATGACAATGGGTGATAATGTACATGACAATGGGTGATAATGTACATGACAATGGGTGACATTGTACATGACAATGGGTGATAATGAACATGACAATGGGTGATAATGTACATGACAATGGGTGGCATTGTACATGACAATGGGTGATAATGTACATGACAATGGGTGATAATGTACATGACAATGGATGATAATGTACATGACAATGGGTGACATTGTACATGACAATGGATGATAATGTACATGACAATGGATGACATTGTACATGACAATGGGTGATAATGTACATGACAATGGGTGACATTATACATGACAATGGGTGATAATGTACATGACAATAGGTCATAATGTACATGACAATGGGTGATAATGTTCATGACAATGGGTGACATTGTAGATGACACTGGGTGATATTAAATGTACATGACAATTGGTGACATTGTACATGACAATGGGTGATAATGTACATGACAATGGGTGATAATGTACATGACTACAAGGTTATAATTACGTTACAATAAAACAGTCTGTAAAATTGCATAGAGATTTTTTTTGAAGTGAAATGTAAACAATGGATGAATTCCGCTCTCGATATCTGACATGTACCGGTACATCTTTCTTCCACTCTTGGGGCTACTGTAGGTGATTGATTGATTGTAGACATCAAAATCTGACAACCACAAGCTATAATAATAATAATAATATTTATTTAGGTAAAAGGCAAATAGTACACATATATCACATTTTGCAGATTGGACATAAATATATATATTATCACAGATGTTATTTATAAGTTATTTATGCCATTAAACTATTAATCAGTCAGGTGTTAAAACTGGATTGGATTAGATTGATTTAGGCCTTTACCTGGGATGACCCATATGGATAAAGCCACATTGTGGCTTAATTCCAATAGGGTCCCTAGGCAGTGGTATGTAATTTGAAGATTATCTAAGAAAAACTTTGTAATATATAAAGTGATGTAAACATTGTTATGTAATTTGAAGATTATCTAAGGAAAACTTGGTATTATATAAAGTGATGTAAACATTGTTCTTTCTTTTTAGATCAAAACAAACAGAATGCTCGTATAAGGAAAAGGTGCGCCTCTCTTATAATTGGGAAAATGCTGTTTTCCAGAATGAAGTGATCACAAGGAATCAAGTAAAGTAAGCATTATGTTTACATTTCTGTTTATGTTTCAGTTTATGGAAATTTGTTTAAAGTTACATGTTACATTTCTTCAAGGATCTTCAACGTGGTCCTGTTGATATATTTAAATTTTAATAAATGATAAAAAGCCTTTAACTTAACAATATCTTTGCATCATTCACATTTAAATAAAAAAAATACTGCATGTAATCTTATTAGAGCATATGGCAGACTTTCGTCACCAAGAAATAGATTGTTCCATATTACATTCCAGAAAAGGTTGCATGTATTCTTTGGAAATTGGATCAATCAATTTAAATTTAGTAATGGTTTGATGTTAATCCTAGCAACATCATTGTATTTTGATCAATGACTGATAATTGGTATTAATGTTTGACTGACAGACAGATGCCGTGGCTACAGTGTGATGAGGCAGGACTGTGGGTCTCTTCTGATCAACACATCAAGTACTTCAGCACTAACCGACACAGAGGCTCCAAACACCTTCACACACTCCGCGGTGTCAAACATGACATAACACACTTCGTTCTTCAGGATGAGACTGTAGTAGCTGGTTGTAGGTAGGTATAGAACTGTTTTATAGTATTGGAATGCTTTATTTATGTCAACAGATATTCTTCTTTTGTTGTATCTGGACTCCACTGTTCGACAAAACAATCTAAACACTATCTAGAGTTAGTTGCGCAGTACAGTCAACATCCTAGGATTAATGGACAGGGTGTTGCTTACTCGTGGGTAACCCAAAATGTTTATCAATTCTTAGCAGGTTTATCCCACTATTATTGTAGGTTTCTTCATTCCCAACTTATTGGATAAACCTGCTAGGAGTCTGTAAACATTTTGGGTTACCTATTAGCGGGTAACATCCAGCACATTGTTTCATTGGTCGGTGTTTAATTATTGTGTCACTGATAATGACAATGACTGATTTGTGCCACCATCTTCCTTTGTTATCCCCCACTTTCACCAAAACAGGATATTAATTTGGGTTTGTCCGTCTGTCTGTTAGCTTCGTTTCTGTGCAATAACCAAGTTTGATGACCACTTTAATCGGACTTTATTTTGCGGAGTTACGGACCCTTGAATAACAAAAATCATCATTGTCTGTCATTTCCGTGCAATAACATCAACAAATGTTAACCAATTTTCTGCAAACTTGGTACCATGGTTAAATGCCTTAAGGGCTCGACCAATTTTGATGACCACTTTAGCAAATATAAGCCAAATTCCTTCAAACTTGATAACAATGTTTGTGTTCCTCTGTCTTTCCACCCACCTCGGGCACTCTTTGGTTTTCGTGTGATAATTGCGGTAGATATATTGTGCAGATATTTCAACCAAAATTTCGTATGCACATCCAACTCATGCTAAGTTTGCCAACATGTGTGATTTGTGCATATTTATGGATAATTAATGAGGTTAGTAAATTCTAATGGATTAAACGATTAGTTTACACCTACATGTTCAATAAAAAGTATATTTTCTGTATAAAGGCTTTTTTTCTTCTTCGATTTTCAAGCTATACATTATGTCTCAACAGCACGATACTCACATGTTTAAATCTAACCTCAATGTTAACCTACAATATGTCCTGCTAGTGGGGGATATAAATATCACAAATTTGCTTGTTATGTCATGATATAGTTATGGTAATTGTTTCTCCGTTCGGAAAAAGGAATAATGTATTTCCAGGAGAAGTATATGGTTTTCTAGACATAATACTGTATGAACTTAAAGGAGAAAAAGGTCCCAAAATGTGTGATGGCTGGTTATTATGTATAAATGGTAATAATGAAACCTCATGTCTTTATACAATTTGAAAATTAACTCCCGAAATTTAGATAAACCACCCAGCACTCGGGAACCTCGGTAGTGTTTATATCTAGACCTAGCTCAAAGTCACTTTATCTAGACTTAGCTTAACAGTCTATTATATTAAAACTCAGCCCTTCTTATCAGTGCTCAACTATATTCAAATGTAATTTGAGCCCATCAACTCACCAAGATTCTGTTTACAGTGATGGCAGTATTATTCGGTGGAACAAGACATCAGAAACCCCCACATTTACACACAAGGTCCACGACAGTCATGTACACAAGGTGGACGCTCGGGAAAATCTGGTGTTATCTAGCTCCACAGACAACACAGTCCGGGTAAGTAGGGGGGTCATTAGAGTTACTTAATTTTAGCAAGCATGTATTTCATTATGTTATGATACAGGACTGACATGCTCACTATATAATGCTGCTCACATATTACTATTCATTTCGTGTTAACTATAATGAAATGTTTTAATATTGACTAAATAATAATATTTGTTTTCTGTACTTTTGCCAAAAAAGGTTTGACACATATACCTATATAATAGTACAGGCCTAGAAACTGAATACAATTATAATTGTAATTCTGTTCCACAGCTTATGGACATAGACCAAGCAGCAGAAAACCGAGTCGTGAAAGTGTTTGAAGTAGAGGACAGAGTGTGGTCAGTTGGTGTATCACCAGATGGCAGGTTAGTAGTATAGTATTTCTTACCAGATGGAAGGTCAGTATTGTAACATTTCTCACCAGATGACAGGTCAGTATTGTAACATTTCTCACCAGATGGCAGGTTAGTAGTATAGTATTTCTTACCATATGGAAGGTCAGTATTGTAACATGTCTCACCAGATGACAGGTCAGTATTGTAACATTTCTCACCAGGTGATAGGTCACATTAGAATGATAAAAAAAGACTAAAAAAGCTTTGCAAGACCAGTTTTGCCAATCATACAGCGTGAGAATTATTGTTAAATTTCATACCAATATAAAATATATAACCAAAGAATTCTTAAATTTATGTTATTTTATTTTCAGATGGTGTGTTGGTGGCACTGCAGCCAGCACAGAACAAAAGCCACCACTGATTGTGTGGGACCTAGCAAGGTAATAATTGATTGTGTGGGACCTAGCATGGTAATAATTGATTGTGTGGGACCTAGCAAGGAAATAGTTGATTGTGTGGGACCTAGCAAGGTAATAATTGATTGTGTGGGGCCTAGCAAGGTAATAATTGATTGTGTGGGACCTAGCAAGGTAATAATTGTTTGTTTAGGACCTAGCAAGGTACTCATTGAGTGGTTGAGACCTAGCAAGGTAATAATTGTTTGTTTAGGACGTAGCAAGGTACTCATTGATTGTTTGGGACCTAGCAAGGTAATAATCGTTTGTTCAGGACCTAGCAAGGTAATAATTGATTGTTTAGGACCTAGCAAGGTAATAATTGATTGCTTGGGACCTAGCAAGGTAATAATTGTTTGTTTGGGACCTAGCAAGGTAATAATTGATTGTTTGGGACCTAGCATGGTAATAATTGATTGTTTGGGACCTAGCAAGTTAATAATTGTTTGTTCAGGACCTAGCAAGGTAATAATTGATTGTTTGGGACCTAGCGAGGTAATAATTGTTTGTTTAGGACCTAGCAAGGAAATAATTGATTGTTTGAGACCTAGCAAGGTAATAATTGTTTGTTTAGGACGTAGCAAGGTACTCATTGATTGTTTGGGACCTAGCAAGGTAATAATTGTCTGTTTAGGACCTAGCAAGGTAATAATTGAGTGTTTGGGACCTAGCAAGGTAATAATTGTCTGTTTAGGACCTAGCAAGGTAATAATTGATTGTTTGAGACCTAGCAAGGTAATAATTGATTGTTTGGGACCTAGCAAGGTAATAATCGTTTGTTCAGGACCTAGCAAGGTAATAATTGATTGTTTGGGACCTAGCGAGGTAATAATTGTTTGTTTAGGACCTAGCAGGGTAATAATTGATTGTTTGGGACCTAGCAAGGTAATAATTGATTGTTTGGGACCTGGTAAGATTAATCACTGAATATGTGGGCCTTTTGTTGTAGAGGTTTGCAAGGAAGAATGAGTAAAAGATAATGTTACCAAATCCATTAAAGACAAAACAACAAAAGGAGATAGAAACGTATTTGTATAAAGTTGACTGAAGCTGAAACAGCCCACTTCCAGACAACCCAAGATATTATGCATGCTTGCTTAATAAATGTTTATAAACTTTAAAAAGTAGATAGGATCTGTTATAATATCTCCATCAATATCTTTAACGTGTAATAAAAAAGTGACTATTTGATTTCTTTCAGATTAACTAAGGTGTGTAATCTTGGAACAGATCACAAAAAAGGAGCTGGGGTATTCGACCTGAAGTTTGAATCTCCAAACCTCCTTCTGACGGGTGGTTATGATACAATACTGAGATTATGGGACATGAGGACATTCACCTGGTAAGTGTATACAAGTGTGTTACTCGGAGGATTCTCACCTGGGGCCCTTTGAATCTGTAGTGTTTGATATTTACAGTGTAAGTGAGTGGGAGGAGCCCTGCAATAAGTTATCATGTTTGATATTTACAGTGGAAGTGAGTGGGAGGAGGCCTGTGATAAGTTTATTACTGTTTGATATTTACAGTGTACGAGAGTGGGTGGAGCCCTGTGATAAGTTATTACTGTTTTATATTTACAGTGTAAGTGAGTGGGAGGGGCCCTGTGATAAGTTATTACTGTTTGATATTTACGGTGTAAGTGAGTGGGAGGCGCCCAGTGATAAGTTATTACTGTTTGATATTTACGGTGTAAGTGAGTGGGAGGAGCCCTGTGTTAAGTTATTACTGTTTGATATTTACAGTGTAAGGGAGTGGGAGGAGCCCTGTGATAAGGTATTACTGTTTGATATTTACAGTGTAAGTGAGAGGGAGGAGCCCTGTTATAAGTTATTACTGTTTGATATTTACAGCGTAAGTGAGTGGGAGGAGCCCCTTGATAAGTTATTACTGTTTGATCTTTACAGTGTAAGTGAGTGGGCGGAGCCCAGTGATAAGTTATTACTGTTTGATATTTACAGTGGAAGTGAGTGGGAGGAGGCCTGTGATAAGTTTATTACTGTTTGATATTTACAGTGTAATTGAGTGGGAGGAGCCCTGTGATAAGTTATCATGTTTGATATTTACAGTGGAAGTGAGTGGGAGGAGCCCTGTAATAAGTTATTTCTGTTTGATATTTACAGTGTAAGTGAGTGAGAGGAGCCCAGTGATAAGTTATTACTGTTTGATATTTACAGCGTAAGTGAGTGGGAGGAGCCCCTTGATAAATTATTACTGTTTTATATTGACAGTGTAAGTGAGTGGGAGGAGCCCTATTATAAGTTATTACTGTTTGATATTTACAGGGTAAGTGAGTGGGAGGAGCCCTGTAATAAGATAATACTGTTTGATATTTACAGTGTAAGAGAGTGGGAGGAGCCCTGTAATAAGTTATCATGTTTGATATTTACAGTGGAAGTGAGTGGGAGGAGCCCTGTAATAAGTTATCATGTTTGATATTTACAGGGTAAGTGAGTGGGAGGAGCCCTGTAATAAGTTAATACTGTTTGATATTTACAGTGTAAGTGAGAGGGAGGAGCCCTGTTATAAGTTATTACTGTTTGATATTTACAGTGTAAGTGAGGGGGAGGAGCCCCTTGATAAATTATTACTGTTTTATATTTAGAGTGTAAGTGAGTGGGAGGAGCCCTGTAATAAGTTATCATGTTTGATATTTACAGTGTAAGTGAGTGGGAGGAGCCACTTGATAAGTTATTACTGTTTGATATTTACAGTGTAAGGGAGTGGGAGGAGCCCTGTGATAAGTTATTACTGTTTGATATTTACAGTGTAAGTGAGTGGTAGGAGCCCCTTGTTAAATTATTACTGTTTTATATTTAGAGTGTAAGTAAGTGGGAGGAGCCCTGTAATAAGTTATCATGTTTGATATTTACAGTGTAAGTGAGTGAGAGGAGCCCTGTAATAAGTTATTACTGTTTGATATTTACAGTGTAAGTGAGTGGGAGGAGCCCTGTGATAAGTTATTACTGTTTGATATTTACAGTGTAAGTGAGTGGGAGGAGCCCTGTGATAAGTTATTACTGTTTGATATTTACAGTGTAAGTGAGTGGGAGGAGCCCTGTGATAAGTTATTACTGTTTGATATTTACAGTGTAAGTGAGTGGGAGGAGCCCTGTGATAAGTTATTACTGTTTGATATTTACAGTGTAAGTGAGTGGGAGGAGCCCTGTGATAAGTTATTACTGTTTGATATTTACAGTGTAAGTGAGTGGGAGGAGCCCTGTGATAAGTTATTACTGTTTGATATTTACAGTGTAAGTGAGTGGGAGGAGCCCTGTGATAAGTTATTACTGTTTGATATTTACAGTGTAAGTGAGTGGGAGGAGCCCTGTGATAAGTTATTACTGTTTGATATTTACAGTGTAAGTGAGTGGGAGGAGCCCTGTGATAAGTTATTACTGTTTGATATTTACAGTGTAAGTGAGTGGGAGGAGCCCTGTGATAAGTTATTACTGTTTGATATTTACAGTGTAAGTGAGTGGGAGGAGCCCTGTGATAAGTTATTACTGTTTGATATTTACAGTGTAAGTGAGTGGGAGGAGCCCTGTGATAAGTTATTACTGTTTGATATTTACAGTGTAAGTGAGTGGGAGGAGCCCTGTGATAAGTTATTACTGTTTGATATTTACAGTGTAAGTGAGTGGGAGGAGCCCTGTGATAAGTTATTACTGTTTGATATTTACAGTGTAAGTGAGTGGGAGGAGCCCTGTGATAAGTTATTACTGTTTGATATTTACAGTGTAAGTGAGTGGGAGGAGCCCTGTGATAAGTTATTACTGTTTGATATTTACAGTGTAAGTGAGTGGGAGGAGCCCTGTGATAAGTTATTACTGTTTGATATTTACAGTGTAAGTGAGTGGGAGGAGCCCTGTGATAAGTTATTACTGTTTGATATTTACAGTGTAAGTGAGTGGGAGGAGCCCTGTGATAAGTTATTACTGTTTGATATTTACAGTGTAAGTGAGTGGGAGGAGCCCTGTGATAAGTTATTACTGTTTGATATTTACAGTGTAAGTGAGTGGGAGGAGCCCTGTGATAAGTTATTACTGTTTGATATTTACAGTGTAAGTGAGTGGGAGGAGCCCTGTGATAAGTTATTACTGTTTGATATTTACAGTGTAAGTGAGTGGGAGGAGCCCTGTGATAAGTTATTACTGTTTGATATTTACAGTGTAAGTGAGTGGGAGGAGCCCTGTGATAAGTTATTACTGTTTGATATTTACAGTGTAAGTGAGTGGGAGGAGCCCTGTGATAAGTTATTACTGTTTGATATTTACAGTGTAAGTGAGTGGGAGGAGCCCTGTGATAAGTTATTACTGTTTGATATTTACAGTGTAAGTGAGTGGGAGGAGCCCTGTGATAAGTTATTACTGTTTGATATTTACAGTGTAAGTGAGTGGGAGGAGCCCTGTGATAAGTTATTACTGTTTGATATTTACAGTGTAAGTGAGTGGGAGGAGCCCTGTGATAAGTTATTACTGTTTGATATTTACAGTGTAAGTGAGTGGGAGGAGCCCTGTGATAAGTTATTACTGTTTGATATTTACAGTGTAAGTGAGTGGGAGGAGCCCTGTGATAAGTTATTACTGTTTGATATTTACAGTGTAAGTGAGTGGGAGGAGCCCTGTGATAAGTTATTACTGTTTGATATTTACAGTGTAAGTGAGTGGGAGGAGCCCTGTGATAAGTTATTACTGTTTGATATTTACAGTGTAAGTGAGTGGGAGGAGCCCTGTGATAAGTTATTACTGTTTGATATTTACAGTGTAAGTGAGTGGGAGGAGCCCTGTGATAAGTTATTACTGTTTGATATTTACAGTGTAAGTGAGTGGGAGGAGCCCTGTGATAAGTTATTACTGTTTGATATTTACAGTGTAAGTGAGTGGGAGGAGCCCTGTGATAAGTTATTACTGTTTGATATTTACAGTGTAAGTGAGTGGGAGGAGCCCTGTGATAAGTTATTACTGTTTGATATTTACAGTGTAAGTGAGTGGGAGGAGCCCTGTGATAAGTTATTACTGTTTGATATTTACAGTGTAAGTGAGTGGGAGGAGCCCTGTGATAAGTTATTACTGTTTGATATTTACAGTGTAAGTGAGTGGGAGGAGCCCTGTGATAAGTTATTACTGTTTGATATTTACAGTGTAAGTGAGTGGGAGGAGCCCCTTGATAAATTATTACTGTTTGATATTTACAGTGTAAGTGAGTGGGAGGAGCCCCTTGATAAATTATTAATGTTTGATATTTACAGTGTAAGTGAGTGGGAGGAGCCCTTTGACTATGCAATCTACTGTATTCAGTCTGATAACAACATGACGATGTTTACGGGCACGGCTCGCAGCAGTATGACAAGACTTTGGGATAAACGAAAAACAAAACCTGTCAGTGTAAGTAAAATATCTCAATATGTGTGTTACATATGTTTTTTTAGCACTTGTCTTCTATGGTGTACGATTTCAACACATTATAACAAATGAGTTTTGCTTAAGAAGTCATTTCTTCAAATAGAGAATCATTATTCTCTCATTCTGCCCATGCTTACTTACATGTATGTACATGTACATATGCATGTAATATTTTATTTATTCTCAAGCAAATAACTATTTTTTTTACACTTTTTCATCAAACTTCATATATATATTTGCATTGGGCATACTTTTAACATCATTTCTTTATATATTTGTGTACTTTTATTCAACAGTTGTATCATCCGCCGGCTAGGAAACGAGACAGTCCGGTGTACTCCCTGGCCTACGACACTTCACATCTTTTTGTTGCACTCGACCTCAGTATCCACAGATTGGACTTTTCAATGAGGAAAACATAGTTTAACATTTAAAAAGTTTCACATGCAAAAGTACCCGGTAAACTGATGAAAAATGTATATGTGCAATCATATGATGGAATGTATATATATATATAGCATGTTTGTCAAAACTAATTATTGCCTTAGTGAGAGAGATAGAAGAGGTGAGACTGTCAAGGAAGAATTTGTTCTCTTTGTTGTTTTAGATATAAAGAAATGGATTTTTCGATGTCAAAATTGCAAATTAGTCATATCAAGAAATATATTTGATTTCTTCTTAATACATGTATCAAAAACCCAACATATTTGGAAAAAGAAAATTATTTTTAGCAAAAAATCAAAGTACATATGTATTGATGTCAAGAAACATTAATTATATGAATCATTCCACTTCTTGATATCAATGATTCTTACTTTTAAGAATTTAGTTTCCTGATATTGACAAAATCCAGCAATTCAAGCATCACCAACATCAGCTTCCTCAAAACATTGGTATTCTTCTTGATATTACGCTGAATTGTGCTTGAACTATCTCTCTGTACCTGGCCAGACAGATCATCAGCCATTTTACAATATTTGCTGTAGTGAAGAGTTACTGATGTTTTTTCAGTGATGACAGTTATGATTGACCTGTGACTTGTTTTTTTTATCATTTTGACTGGTGATTGATGAAGATAGTTTGTATAGAGAGTGTACAGTGTGTACCCACTGGTGGGGTTATACAATTCTTTATTTATAAAAGCTGTTAATAAAATATTACACTGATCTATATAATCGTTTACGATTTTTAGCTCACCTGCCCGAAAGGTCAAGTGAGCTTATGTTATGGTGCGTCGTCTGTCGTCCGTCAACTTTTCCTTTAAACAACTTCTTCTAAAGAAAGGACAGACCAAAAGCCATGATATTTGTCTGAAAGCTTCATTGGTAGGTACCCGAAGTTTGAGAAAGAAAATGACCTTGACTTACTTTCAAGGTCACATGGGTCAAATGTATCAAACACTTCAAACGACTTCTTCTGAAGAACTGAAAGGTAAAGAATCATAATGTTTTTGCTGGTAGCTCCCTGTGATAGAGCCCGACTAAGTTTGAGAATGAAAATGACCTTGACCTACTTTCAAGGTCACAGCTGTCAAATATGTAAAATGCTTCAAAAGACTTCTTCTGAAGAACTGAAAGGTATAAAATCTCCATATTTGGCTGGTTGCTTCCTAAATCTTACTTTTCTGTACCATTGGAGGGATTTTTTGTAATAAGAATAATTTTCCATAGTTGCTTTATTATCCAGTAGAGTGATACATGCCCACTGGCAGGGTTAGACACTAACTGTTTTTGCTTGGCAGTCCACAGGACTAGTTAAATATATTATTTACTAGTTCTTCGTCAATGTAGCTTGTCCAAGATTAACTGATAAGGAAACATCGCGATCTACAGCACGAAACATCAAAAGTAGGGGACTTAAAATAACAACTGCAATAAAAATATGGTAAAGGTTTTGGATTTTTTTTGACAATTATCATGCAATTTATCTATTTTAAGCAGTTTTCTAAAACGGAATATTCTTATTTTATAATCATATTTTTCACAAGTCAGAGGACCAGATAGGTTAGATGATTCACTAGTCCTTGCTGAAATCTACTAGTCCAGGACTAACAGACTTGTGTTAGTGTCGACCCCTGACTGGGCCTCTTGTTAACTCATCTGGCCTGGAGGGCCAAGTGAGCTTATGGAATTGCTCACCATCTGTCATCTGTTCATTTTGAAAGCTTTTTACTTCTGATAAAAAACTAATGCTTAGGGTGATGATATTTGGTCAGCAGCATGATATGGCAGGATGAAGTGCTATTCAAGTTCTTGCAAATACATTTTTTAGGTCATTGGGGTCAACCTCTCAGCAAGGTATTCCCTTATAAACTACTGGAAAACATGCTTTCTCTACCATTGACTGAATGGTGGCAATGCTGTGACAACAAATGACTGTTTCAAGGCTGTGGCAGTAGACATAGGTTCTAATTGTTAAAGCCAGAGTGTTTATATGCAAACATCTGGCAACAGTTCTTTGCAAACTCATTTGTTTTCTGCAAATAAATGTACCATTTCTGTGAAGGATTAAACAGAAATACGAATCAAGGAAGGGAGCTCCTTTAGTTGTCCAAACTAGATGCTTGCTGATAGTTTAAAATTTGTGAATCTTACCTGCAGGATTGAGATTTCATTATAACCTTATCTAGGTGTAGGTAATGGGTATTTCTCCTAAACTCTTACAAAGTGGGAAGCTCCCATTATTGTTTGCTGGTTTTAAGAAGCACATGCATGGCAATTCAACAAAGTATTGCATGCCCCAAGAGTCTTAGGGTATCTTTATATAAAACGGGTATCGTTAAGTAAATCCAAGTTATCGTAAAATCGTGAAATTTGCGTGGTGAGGAAATGTTCGTTAAAATATCCACACGTGAATACATTAGTTGTTAATGTATTATGTAGATTATAGCTTTTAGAAACTTTGCCAACGCGAAAAAGTTGTTAATTTTATTACATTTAACAGCTTTTCAATGCAGCCTGTAGTTATCATAACCAAGAGGTTTGCATGGAAAAGGAATCACGATTTGAACGGAAGCAATGAGTGAATTATGGGAGAACAATGTACGGTAGATTATACTCTCAGTTAAAGAAAGTTACATTAAATATAAAATAAACTTTATTTAGTTTACAACAATTATGAAACAAAGATATTCCATTTTTTTATAATTCACTTTTGTTAGCCCGGATTTTAGCGCGCGGAGGGTCTTAATGTGGGAGGAAACTGGAGTACCCGGAGAAAACCTATGCGATCGGACAGGTGACCCAATACCATTTCACGTCCGATCGGTAATCGAACGCGGCCGCCTTTACTACAGGCCAAATATGTTATTTATTTGGATGAAGTTGTTAAAATGTTTAGAAAGACCTATATATTTGTCTGTCGCGTACGAATTCTGACACAGGTGAACCATGTAGCGCGCATTCTGTTCTAGGTATGAAAACGCAAAATGTTGACACAGCGAAATTAAAGAACTTTACTGTAACAAGTATACATGACAGGATAAACATTAACCCCTACAAAAAAGGAGTTGAAATCAGATATACTGTTGGGGTAAACATGTTCTGCTTCTCGTATGGTGCCTGCTTTGAGAATAAGGAATTTGGAGTAAATGTCGTTTCGGGAAACGCTTGCTAGACTATGATCGATGGAAACAAGCACACATCGACCACGATCTAAGTGACGGTTATACATGGCTGAACTTAGACGACTCCGGTGTTATCACTGTGTAGGGAAGTTGGATGAATTAACGGAGTTTTAGAAAATGCAACCACACTTCACCCGGAAATTGCTGTTCAATACAAATCTTCAGATATCTGACAAAGCAACAGGGAAGTTAGAGTACCGATCAAAACTTCTTCCTGGAGTAAATACATTTGTATTTGATGCAGATAGTAATACATGTAGTGTAAATCATTTGAAACAAGAGCTAATATTGAAGCATTTTTCTCCCGGCCACACGGAATTTGGAACTTCAAACGTTTTTGTATGTCGCTCTTTACATCGCATTGTGTTGATATTATAACACAGCACAGCGACGTATACTATCTGTGTAGTATACGTCTGCAGTGTTCATGGTTATGCAACTGGAACTGTCAGTTTTGGAGAAAGTTGTCACCCCTGAATGCATTACTCAAAACCGCACATGACATTACGAATTCAATATTTTCACCGCAAGATAAATCACAGAAAATTGACACCACACAAGTTATTAAACAAGATCCTAACCCATTTACATATTGTTGAATATTACCGACATTAACAAAAATAACCGAATGTTGTAATAAGCATGTATGTCGTGTAACAGCTATAATGTACATCTATGTGGCAGAAGTAGACGAAAAAACTGACGAAATCGGGACACAATACACAAAACAGAAACAAGGTGGGAAACATACACGTATTTACATTGCAAATACTGTATGGTTGGACTCCAAAGTATGCAAGCATACAGGGAAGTGTTCAAGGAAGATACTTATGCAAGTTTGTAAGAAAGGATCAAGACATTTTAAAAGAAGAAATCAAACGATTATACATCACCTCTGAGTCGTCCCGCTCGACAACTTTAAGCCGCAAAATATCCTCGGGTTACCGGTTTCCGCGCACTTAAGAAGCATCCGCGATTTCGTACTCATATCGGCAGAAAACTGTTGAAATTACGGATCACTGTCATAAACATATATACAATCTACTAAAGGAAACAAAAAACTAGCAACATAAAACTGTATTTAAAAAAAAATTAGAACAAACAATTTTTAACAAATTTCTCCCGTCGGAAGTATCCGTCATGTTTCCGTGTGTCTATTTTGATTTAGTGTTCAAAGAAAGATAACTCGAATACAAAAAAAAGTTGTTTTGATAATTAATTTGACGATCAAAGATAATTTTTTTTATTCCAAACGAAGCTTTTGTTCTTGTATGTCACTCTGGAGAATTTCTTCTTTTTTTAAATTCACATTTTTAATAGATTTTTCAAAATGTCAAATTGGACGAATTCATGAAGTTTTTTTAAATTTATTTATTACATTTATTTAGTTATAATATATTTATGTTAATTTTTTTTTTCTGCAGTTTTATATCGGTTTTGGTTGATGGTAAGTTATTTCTCATTTTGTTCTGTTTAAAATTGGTGAAAATTGGAAGTTCATTGCATTACAAGGTTAACGTTTCTTGAAAACACTGTTTATCGATTTAAGAATGTCCCCTTGGCTCTTCGGGAGTGGATAAAAATCGGCTAGGAGATGTGGCCTCATTTGCATACGAAATTTTCGTACGTTTGTCAGACTACAAAAAAGACCGGTTCATGAATGATATATACCACCGTTTTTTCAGGTATGGGCTCATTTTGTGCAAGATAAAAAGTGCATTAAGCAAAACTGCATATTTATGCGTGTTTTTTTAATCGGTGATTATTTCTTATGTTTTCCGGACGAACTTCCGGTAATTTTTGTGTCAGTTTACAGACGATGGCCAAACGTCTAAAATATCCTTGTGTTGTGTCCAGCAGGTCACGTAGTTACGAGATATAGCTTGATAAAATGGCTGCGCGGAAATACATAACGCGCGGAAACTGGTGACTAGACGATATATTACATATACCATAGTTTGTTACTCGTATGACAAGCGTCGCAAAGAAAAACAAACTTGTTTCGACATTCTTGATTTAGTATTTCTAATGGTCAGCAGCCGTTACCGTCGTATTCCAAATAATTAACCTCGAATTAACAAAATTTCGATCGAAGGTTACTTTTGACATGTGCTGTCTGGGCCTCGTGTTCATTGTCTTCTGTAGTTGTGTTTCTATCTGATGTTAAATTTATAAACAAAATGTGTCGATTCCAGTAGATTCGAAAGTTGAAGATATGGATTACGTTGATTGATTGTACTTTCCTAAGTTTATGTATCACAGTAATAAACCATCTAGTCGCCAATAACTTGACTAATTAATTTCGTCTCGAGTTCAAATTCGAGGTACATGGAAAAACGCAATTTTGCGGATAAATAAACACTAGACGTACGAAGGAAAGAAACACCTGTTTGAAAAGTTTATTTGTAAATGCTAGAAACCCTACCAAAGTAAGCATTGTACTGCACCATTAGGCAGTTTCGTCCATTTATTAGTAGGACTCCTCCGTGGTACACATAGGCCAAACCAATAAAACATCAATGTTCCTATCACATGTAGAATATAT